GTCTTTTCATTATACCGCTTACAGACAAATCGTGGAAAGAGTAAACGAATGCAAGTGAAAAATGAACAACAAGGAAATCAATAAAACACTGAGAAAATCAAGGTCATCGCCTACGTCTTACCAGGGCAAGGCAAGACTGGTCACAAGGTCGGATGGCAGAGGCTCCAGCGAAACGAAGCAATCTCGCGTTGTTTTGTCTGCTGATAACCATGAATGCGTCACGTGGGTTTTCGCACAAGGTACAATCGAGCAGATGCTGGGCGATTGAGCTGGCAGAGAGTTTAGGGTCACTATTTGCCAGGTTCCGTGGAACATGTTCCATGATCCTAGTTGATAGCTTTCGGTTCGACCAATGTAAATGCTACCGCAAGTTCAGGTGAATTGGTAAACGCATGAGGCGGTAACCTGAGAGTGACGCCTATCCAACTTGGATTCATGGAACACCCTCTTGGTTTGATGTAACAACACGAGCTCAGCTGCGTAGTAGCACTTTTTATGGCTTGGCGTAATCGGTAGAACAGTCTTATGTCGTTCGGTTCGCCTTCGTATAGTAGCGTGATGAGGACCATTTTCTTTTGAACATCCATTCGCTTTTATTTCTTAGAAACCTCATTCCCATACCTAGCAATGAATTTATTCGAATAGCCGTTATTGCATAGGTTAGACTCGAAGTATCGTAACTCAGCAGCGATTGACTCTTCAGAGCATATTCGTGTGGTTTAACAAAACAAGTTCGAAGTAGGGATTGTTTGTAGTTCATTGGACAGTAACTGTTGAAATGTAGGTATTGTCCGGTCCAGCTCGGTTTCTGATAAGTCGATCTTATGAGTGGACCATCTGCTCTTCTTGTAAGTGCAATATCAAGTAAATGAAACGAATCCTCTGATTCCCTTTCCATAGTGAACTTGATATTAGGATGGTATTTGTTTAACGTTTCCAAAAAAAACCTTCGCTTGCTGGACGGTGCCAACTACAACAAAAGTATCGTCGATGTACCTCGTGTAAAAGTGTGTTGCTCCAATGACATCGCGTAATAAGTTACTTTCCAAATGACCCATAAACAAGTCAGCTAGAATCGGTCCGAGAGGGCTACCCATCGCAACGCCTTCAATTTGACGATACATATCCCCATCAAAGCAAAATTGGACCTTTTCATATAAATGCTGAGAAAGGTCTTTAATCGATGTGCAGGCAGACCAACTTTGTCCGCATGCTTACTAATGATGATCAATGTCTCATCTAAAGGAAGGTTCGCGAAAAGTGAACAGACATCAAATGATAACATGTGCTTATCTTGAACATTCAAGTGTCGAACAGTGTCAACGAACTCGAAAGTGTCTTTTAGACCGTGCACCACTAGCTCAGCACGTACAGACTCGAGTCGCTTTGCCAACCATCGTGCCAGCTTCTGGTGCGGCGCCGCAATCATTGAAAGAGCAGGACGTAGTGGGGCCCCTTCTTTGTGTATTTTTGGCAATCCATACATAGGAGGAAGTCTTCAGCCTCGGTTATCCCGTATAAATGTTCTTCGTTCTTGCTCTGTTAAAATTTTTAAATAGAAATGGCTGCATGAAATTCTTAAAGACATGCTAAATCTGTTCAAAGCTTCCCATTCTTCCTCATTTGGCCTTCACCAGCCTACTGTTGCACTTATCAGTTATGTAGCTGTATTTGTCTGATGTGAATTGCCGAAAAGTGATCTCGTTGCAAACCTGTGTTTTACTTTTCCATGAGAATTATCTACGAGTTAAAGGGACGTTAGTAAAGAGCGATTCAACATCAAAGGAGAGTATCATTTACTCGCTTACATTCAGAATTTTTATCAGCTCAACAAATTAATCCTCACGGTGCGGACAGACAATGTCTAGTGGAATGGGTCGAGTAGATCAAGGAGCCATTTTGTCAATACGTGTACGCCGCAGCCAAAGATGCCGATAATCGGACGTAGTGCTGTGTTGGCTTTATGCACTTTGGGTAACCCAAATAGACGAGGCGGTTGGGAACTGCATGAGGTTAACCGTTCGAGCAACGTAGGTTCTATAAAGTTGGCCTGCTTCAGTTCCTGCAGCTACTTCTTTAACATGGTCCGTAACGTGCAGCGCTATCTTTTTGTACTAGGAATAACAATAATGTACTCGTAGGTCTCAGAATGGTAAACATCTCTGACATATATTCTGACTTGTCAAGTATAACCCAACCTGATCTTTTAGCAAATCTTTTGCATCGAAATCTGAATTCGATGTAAGTTCTTTAATGGCTTTTCGATGTTCGTTATTAAGTATTTTTGCAAAATGCGCCAAATGTACTGGTAACTTTGATGAGGGTGCACTAATGTGTTCCCGAAAGTGTCGTGGAGGAGGGAAGAGGTAAGTGTCAAATCAGCTAGGTTGTGCGCCAAGTTTTCAGCGTCTACATCAAGCTCCTTCATGCTAGGTTATGATGCACAAAATTTTGGACACAAAGAGAGAGCTTCCACTCGCAGTTTGTTTAATTGCACGCTAGAAAATTGTGCACGTATCGTTCTGGGTGTAAAGGAAAATCTCGCCTCGAGTATATTTGGTTCTAAGCTATTCAATAGTTTAGGCTACTTTCGTTCGTCAGCCGGCTCGTAGGCTTAAGGATCACACACCTGTCTTGTAATCTGAGGGCGCGGGTTCAAGCCTGCGTAGGGACCGGGTGATCCTCGTAGTATCCTTAGCCCACGTGCAACCGGTGGTGTTCGCGCAGCAGAGAAGCGTGGGTAATGCGCACCGGTGTGCTGGTGATGTCCTTTTTCGTTCATCAGCCGCAGTGCATACATCGTGCATGTAGCTCTGAAACAAGTCTCGTTCCACTATGTTGAGGTCTTCTACGGCTAAGTAGTAGCGCGAACAAAATCTTTTTAACTCGGGTTGTACGCACGTGGTTTTGAAGAGTTAATAGTAGGGTGCACGTGACATCACCTCAAAGATTTCCAGTAGGTATTAGGGTTCTGATTGCGCCGTAAGCATTCCTGTACGAGACGAATTTCCGCTCCCGCATCAGCAAGCCTTGCGTTCAAACACTTGTTGCTAAACGCAGGGGGCAAATTGTGCCTTTTTAAGTCATAAATTATGCCCCTTCAAACAACAACAGCTGCGACGAAAGTTCTTTCCGATAAATCTCGTCGGGCGCGTACAATTACGAAGCAAACAGAGAGCACTCGTGCAACCGCTAATTTTGCCTTGCCCCTCGCGCAGTTAGCTGACTTCAGCGCCAGCGGTCCATCGTAACTTGTTTGAATCCGTTATTGATTGGTGCACCCAATAAGATCCGTTTTACTGTTGATCCTAACATCCTTTTACCTGTGCATGACTAGTAATGGGTTCTTGTAAGTTTTGGTTAACTGCTTTATGATTGTACACGCCTGGCGATTTATAGAAAAGAAAGTTAATCGGAACTGTTCTTTTGATATTTGAATGGGCATAATTTGTTTTCGATCAATTGTCATTCTTTGTACCCACAAATGATTTTGTCAGTTTCTTACCGTTTAATTCAGTAGTGAACCTGAAGGCGAACAATTCTGTTCTCAATGTGCTCCATAATGCAGATCCAAACGCTCGTTTCACCTGTGAACTGGATGACAAAAACTGCCCCATAGAGCGTTCTGTTCACCTGAAAGCTACATGCACAAAACTGTATAAACACTTAACAGTTTCGCTCCTATCCAATACAAGCGGCGTTTAGTGAAGATGCCATTTAATCGAGCCCGCAGAATATGCACTGATGACCGTTTGGAATCGGAATTGCTGTTCATCACACAGACGCTACGGGCCAACGGATATCCAGAGGCGTATATTCGACTTCACAGTCAATAAAGGAAAACAAGCCGAGGGTACTTATTATGCCCAAACTATTCGTCTACCTTCAATTACCTTTCAAAGGGGATGTCGTGGCCGCTCAACTTGAAAGACGTTTGCATACAGCGATTCGTCGGACATTCAATGCCGCCAAATTCTGTCCCATTTGGGAGACCTGGAAGTTGCCTATGCCTCCAGTGAAGCCTACTCAACCGATCTCCGCCACAACCCATTGTATTTACCAATTCGTTTGTAACTGCGGAAGTCGTTACATTGGCAGAACAGATCGAGCCTTGGGTAAGCGCTCTGGAGAGCACATCGCAAAACGGACTGCAAAGTTATGGATACAACAAGCAGCTGAAGAAGAAGAAAAAGTATCTAAGCTGCCTAGATTATTTATCGTTAGATATCTAATCGAAACAGGCTATCAGGTTGACCCTGGGTCAAAATCTACGATGATCTATCGAAATGAAAACCCCAAAGTTTTCAGGTTCGTCGAAGTTGTGGCACTTAACCGGCATCGCCCTATGCTTTGTGTACAGAAACAAGTAACAGCCTCCCTAAAGCTTCCTTGGGGCTCATGATCCTAAAGTCAAATTCGTCGATTCTGCGTCTATGTAATTTCCCTTTGAGACCAATTTCAAACCTTCGATTTTTATGTCACGTGATTCATATTTATGTTGTTAGTTTGCGAGTAAGCAGATAACACGAAATGGTTGCATCTCGCAACACCAGTCTTATTGTCTTACCTAGAATGATACACGGAACTCAGTGCTTTAAATCAAAAACAATTGTTTGTTCTGAAACCACTACCTGCGTCTCTTTGGGATTAAAAATGAAAAGTAACCGAGAGAGACGCCACAAACACAGTTACTTTCGTCGATCATTCGAATGTGTAGTGTGACATCCATCCACAATTAGCGGTACCAGTGGGTGATCATGCGTGAAGTCATATAGGAGAAAAGCGAAGTGACCAGTATAATCCAACTCGAAAAAACCCGGAGCCGTAGGATTATGTTTATAATTGCATGAGTAATATGAGTTTAGGATCTCTCGTGGATGAGACCGAAACGAACTGCGGTAGCATAGCATAGTGGTAATAGGGTGGGGTTAGGGGATGCAGCAATGAGCCACATGACCAAGGTATGACTTCTCGAGATGGCTGCTGAAACGCCCATTGATCTAGGGGCCGTTCTGGAGTAGCAAAAACAAGAAATTCCGAGCCATCCTACACTTAATATGGTCAAAATAACATGCACTTGTTCGCGAACTTAACGGACAAATATCGATTAGGTTTAGAGAAATGTGATGCATAATAGGGTGCGAACAACAGTTGGGTTCTTACATCTGTTATCAGAACGGCTGTTCGTGAAAAACAACAAACAAAAGTGAGGCTCCTCATGCACAACGTGAGACTGTGCTCGAAAATTTTAATAGTCTAATCGACAAAGCTACGGAGAAAAGACAGACCCACCCAAAATTGTCAGCCTGGGGCCGATTAGTCTACTGCATTTATGGTTGGAAGTTGTGTAAGCACGGGCGAACTCGCAGTATCCTTAGCCCGCGGGGGACTGGAGATGGCCACGTGGGTCTCTGATTATGCCCACTTCTTCCCCAGTGATGAATGTGTCGGATCACACAAGACTTGAAAGGAGCAGAGATGACTCGGTGGGGTGAAATCAAATCTCACACTAGTAAGCCAGAGGTCGCAGATCCAACTTGCAACACAGCTGTGAGTGCACCAGCTATATCGCGCATGCATCCCATCTTCATGGTGTCTAGATGCTGCGCAGTAAAAGTTAATGTGTTCAGTGAGGTGCGCATGGAGTGTTACTGAGAGACAAAGGGGACACGCAACAGCGACAAGTAAGCTTTCACGATTATCTCCATGTGATGCCAGCTGGTTACTTGCAACTTGCAAGCCGCAGGGACGAGTTGGCCGAAGTACTGACGCAAATAGTCTGCTCCCCTCTTCTCATTATGCCACTGTGGATCAATACATGTGACGAATATGAGAAAAGACAGTAGCCAAACGAATTCAAAGTTCAATCACATAGAGAGAATCGGAGTAGCAGGCAGAATGATAATGTTGCGGTGGGCAACTGAACGTCATATGAACAACAGCAGTAAGCCAGAATCACGTACTGATAGTCCGCTACTGTAGAACCGCGCCGTTGCAGTGTGGGATACTGCAGGTGAGCCAATAATCAAACCAGGAGCGCCTGGGCTGCAAGCAATACACCATAACCGCTAGGACGTACAACACGGAACTTTGATTTAAATGAATAAGAATACTAAGGTAAATTAACTATCGAGATGAGTCGGAAAGAACTTTTCTTGAGGTCACAAGAGTTTGACCATCCACACAAGGGAGGAAACGTGTCAAGAAAAGTAGCAGCGATATAAGATACGGCCCAAGAGCATGGGGAAACAGATTGAGTTACCTTGGATTCCAACGTCAGCACAGTAAGAACGTATCGGAGATAATCGGTGTTTTGTCGCGATGTGGGGCACCTTGAACTGCTCAATTGCAAAATATCCGTGGACCAATCGTATTGTGCGAAATTCTTGCCAGGGCCTGGGCCCATAGCAAGACGAATGAGTTTGCGTTTGGAGTGATCGTTTAGTCGGAGACTAGAAACCGCAACCTTTAGGATGGCAAGAAGGAAATCGAACTACAGGGTATGTTGAAGACAGGGAAGACAAAACTATGCGGCCACAAAACCAAATAGATCAGATTAACGAGTAGTCGACGTAGCTGATTCATTCGTTAGTCCGGCACTAGATATAGTGCCGGCGTTAAGTCCTAGTTGTAGCCAGAAATAAGACCCTATCAGCCCTCTGAAAACACTTCTGGAGGTAAAACACAGCAGACAAGTGATTTAAATGTGGCGGTAATTAAGGATGATGGGAAGTAAAGAGAGAAATTCATCTACAAAAGTCATGGTTTAAAAGATGCGTACGAATCATCCATGGCCCGCAAGAGAAAAAGGGACAGAAATGGGTGCAAATGCTGTGATATCAATAGTATGGAGAGAACAAATAACAGCTGCCACTAAATGTTCATCCAGCTGGTTAAATCCTGAGGATGATATTATGTGGTGGCTAAAGCGAAGTAATCCCGCTCCAAGTGAGAGTGACAGTTATCATAAACCACTCATATCATAGTTATTACTCAGATTAGGTTGAAAAGGTAGGAAGGTAGAACAGTACGATGGATTTCTTACCCGAATACTGACCAAACGGGCACGCGGATCGCGTATGCTGGGTGCAGAGAAAACGAAATTTTGATGTACCACCTCCAGCGGGTAATGCTTAGTAACTGCTTCCTCGGAATTTAAACCCGTTGGCCATTTGGTGCAGAACTCTGAAAATAGTTTTATAGAAGACGGTCAAGAGAGTGAACCGTACTTTTAATCGCTGCACAATGTTTTTGTATGTGATGTTTGGTTAAGTGTAGGAAGTTTGGAATCTTTAGTAGCTCAGCGTTTGCATAACTTCCAGGAGAAATACCGAGGTTCTCCTGTAGATTCTGTAATTGTTGGAGTCAAACGAGAAGAACATTGTAAGGTTTGTTACCTTACAATAACCTTGCCGAATCGGAAATGGGATAACCGAGTAGTGGAAAGTAGATGCAGCAGGCCATATGTTGGTCCAGTCTATTTTCTCTGAAAACTTACGATGTAGTGGTTCCTTGCGCTAGAAACGAGAAGTTTGGGGGAGGAAAGTGACACTAACCTCATCGATGGATCTATTTCTCCTAGTTAAAGCGCGAACATCAGTCAGACCTCGGATTTCAAGCGGAAGAAATGCTAACAAAAATGGGGGTAGAGAAGGCAAAGATCTTACGCTCAGCACTAGCAGAAATGGTACGTCGAACGCACTTGATAATCATGTGATCAAGTATCGGGCTGTAGAGACCAGATAGGAGGAGCACCCGGTGTGCATCACATGCAGCGCAGCTGGAAAACAAACAGAATAAGTCAGAAGCAGAAAAAAAAGCTTGAAATCTGAGAAAAAAGTTGGATATCGTTCCACTTATAATTAGCGAAGCTGACAAAGACTACAGCACAAAAGTAGAACGAAGTGAACGCAAGCGATAAACGCTCAGATGGATGAAGTCTGCAATCTGTTACATCTAAAATTCAGTGAGTAAATCTAGAATTGGATAAATGAAAAAAATAAGCGCGGGCTAACTTACGCAAACCGAGACATATCATGTTCGTTGTATTCCTGGCGAATGGCAGCTTTGGGAAGGCCATTTCGGCACAGCGATCAGGATGCTGCAATCTTTTGATGGCCTGTGCAAACACATCCAAATGGTGAGAGCAAAATTCAAAAAACTGAATCAAATCCGTTAGTGCCGGCTTCGAACTGAGGCCTAGAGATTGAGCGTACAAACAACTTAAGATTGCTGTTGTGCTGCTGAAAAGCAGTGGCATCATTACATTTAGTTACTAGTATTCAGCTTCGATTCCATATATTGGTTTAATCATTGCAGATTAATACAGGTTGTGTGTCTACCTAAATGTGTACCAGCCGTCGAGTATCATCAACACCGCCGTCATCACCACTCCATCAGCATCACAATAATAACAATCAACACCACCGGTAAAAGTACAATAATACTGTGCATTGATGCACCGTTATAGCACAATCACACCGATACAGAATAGAGAGATGTGGATCCAGATGACCTTACTACATCGTGGAGTAATTAGCCCACAAACTACTCATTTTGTGAAGATGAGGGTTTTTTCTATGAGGATGCTTATCGGGTCGCGATGGGCACGTTAAACAATGGGTCGAAACAGAGCAACAAGCAAAGGAACTACTCGCAAGTAGCAGGATTCTAGTTGTAATTTTGATGAGGTGTTCATCCCAGCAGTCCACAAGCTACACAACACAGCCTAGTCTGGAAAAGCACCAGACGCATTTCGCCCTATTAGGGCTCGTCATTGGTGCGCATTCCCTCGGTCCCCTACGAGGGAGCGAAACCATAACCGCTAGAGAGGGATGCCAACTTGCCAGCACTTTAGGCCACTGAGCCATGGGGGACGTTAGCTAAGCTACATAACTTGCGAAACGCGTCTGGTGCATTTCCGGACTAGGCTGTGCTACGTAGATTGTGAACTACTGGGATGAATACCACAACAAAATCAAAGGAATTTTGCTGCGCTTCCTGGTGTATGCCCGAAAACAGCAGCTGGCTAGAGTGCAATAGGAAACGGGTTCAGGCACCAAACAAGGAGCAGGCAAGGATGGAACCACACCAACTGAGGTGTAGAACAGTATGACCTACTGGATCCACCGCTTGTCAGCGTGTCAGTGGTACACTGACGCCCACTGTGTCTGAAGTCAATAGTAATCAAAGACGCAGACTAGCGGTGCACAGATGCAGTAAAAGCTAGTCATTGTCCTTGCACTCGGAATAAACTGCAAACATCTCACCGAGATTACTGGCATAATGACGAGGTACTTGCATACTACTACACTTTGCAACTAGAAGTATAGCTGAGCTGCCCCTTGAGTCGTTGTTTGGACTGGCTGCCCCATCTTCGAACCCAGATGATACGTCCACATTTTCTACTTATGGGCGATTTTAACTGTTCTCGGATACGATGGCCTGATGTACATTTGATGCCTCGACATAGTAAGACTGAAGCAAAGTTCGTGGATTTGGTACTTGAAACTGGTGCATCGCAAGACATATGCCTGCTAACCAGCATAACAACACGATTAACACCGTCCTGTCTCCATCTGATGTTAACGAGGTACGAACAACGAGTGCGTAACGTTTGGATCCTGAAGCTCTTGGCTACAAGCAACCACTCAGTGCTCATAACTGATATGGAATCACCTTTGTCGTATTCAGGTCCGCTGGAACCAGCTTACAACTAATGTAAAGCGGGCTTCAATGGTCTAGCTCGAGCCGCGAGCCAACTGGATTGGTTTCTGTCACAAGCGGGATCTGTAGAAGACTGTCGGATATTTATAAAAGAGATATTGACAACGTGTTCCAAACTTGTGCACTTGAAATGTTGGAAGGTTGGGCCGATTAAGCCTCATTGGTTTGACAAGAAGTATGGAAATCTGACTCAGAGGCGGCGCAGACTGTGGGACAGATTCCGCCTCTCTGACTGCCAATGACTACGTAGGGTATAAGAGACAGCGAAACCACTGCAACAGGGCAAAAAGGAATAAGCGTCAACATTTCGAACAACAGCTCGCAATCGCCGCGAAGACCGCCCTAAAGAGAATTTTTGCTTACCTGAAGCCAGCAGGTGATGTACCAGTGCTGCATAGTCCGGATGGACAGCCACTAACCTCCAGCACTGAGCGTGCGTCCGCATTAGCAGCGCACTTTGCTTCCGTAGTTGCAAATGACCAGGTGTCTGTTCCGAGTTCGACGTGTACCGCTTCTACCGAACTCGACAGTCTGGATTGCGGCGTTGAAGAGGTATGTCAACTACTCCCCAACCTTGACGGCACCAAACCTGTAGGACCTGATGGGCTTCATCCACTGATTCCCCAGTCACTTTCGACCATCATCTCTCCTGTCGTGACTGATTTTTTCAACAGTTCGCTGTCCGAAGGTTCGCTGCCAATTGACTGGAAATGTTCGGTGGTGAAGCCTATTCCGAATATATATGTCTAGGAATGCAATGATAGTGGGCCTGTGATAAATGTGGCGATGTACGAGAAGCTGGGGGAGCGTGAAGATTTGATCCACGCATCCGCGGCCAGGACGGAAACCAGCTTCACGGTAGTATGATTCACGTACTGGGGATAGTCTGCGAAGCAGAATGGATGCAAATAGCTTGGAGGCAACCGAAATAAGACTAATCCCGCGGTGATTTGCATATGAAGTGCGAGCGCCATTCTTGCAAATCGGGACAATAACTGATTCGCCCCAAGAGGAAGGCACTTTCTCTTCATGCCAAATTTTTGTGAACAGCGCGGTCAGCTGGTTAATGATCGTCAAACCGCCGTACTTGAATAGTTCCGGAGGAAGTCCGTCTAAGCCGGCAGCCTTGGAACGTCGAATCTCGAGGCAGACTTCCGCTTCGCTGGGTGAATTCAGAGGGACGAGTCAGGGTGGACAACAACGTATACTGTAAGTACTGATGGATGGTGGAGGCCAGTTGAACTGCGAGTGAAAGTGCTCGGCCCAGCGGTCCATACGCCTCTGTTGGTTGGTGATCGGAGACTCATCCACCTCACAAATGATCTCACTGACATCAGGCTTCCTGAGGCCAGTGGACCGAATGAGTTGGAAAAGCCTGCGAGTGTTGCCAGAGAGGGCAGCGGTCTCCATCTCTAAAGCACGCTCAGACCACCATGCCTCGCGATCCTTGCGTAGGCTTTGCTTGAGCAGCCGGCTGGCAGAACGGCGCCGCTCGTTGCAATCTGACCGGGTCGGGACAGCTCGTCAGTTATCGCGTAGGGTCATGGCTTATTGGAATGCGCCGGCTGCAGAAGTGGCACTAACGGTGAAAGAGTTTGGACATCGACTTGACACCCTCGGTCTGCAGTTTAACGTCCTCCCCTTCATGCGTTAAGTTTTTACTCGTCTATTACGACCTATTACTCCTCAATTTGTTTTCACTAAGAGCTCGATAGTACTCATATAGATTGTCGTTTGTCTTTCGCCCTTATTTCCATTCGTTTCCTTTTATTCACGTGACCAGCATAATGGCGACTGTTAGTGCAGTCGGATTGCCTGAGGTACCCCGATGACATGAAGCTATGGATGAAGGTATCCTGTCTCGAGGATAGTGACAGATCGCAAACGTCAATGGACATGCCACATGTGTGGTTAGTGAAGTGGCAAGTACACAGCAATCGTTAAAAATGTTCGGTTCTCTACAGGCAGCCCCGAGCCGTTCGGGACGTGCCACATTGATGGGATGTTACTCAGAACAACAATTCTTGAGAAGGATATCGGTGCGCTTGTCTCATACGATTTACGGACCACAGAGAACACACTGCGGAGGGTTACCGCCGCCAACAGGATGTCCCATGGCATACGGACAGTCTTCTCGCGATTGACTCCGGGGACCTTCAAAATCCTGTGCACTTCACATGGGCGCCCAATCCTCTAATACTAATTACCCTCCATCTATTCGCCTACCAATTTCGAATGTGACATGATTGAAAAGATCCTAGCGGCATGGTTCGAAATCGATCTTGGAATTACGGGACTAGTCTTTTCCTCTTCGACTTCAGCGGATGAATCTGTTCTCCGTGGAATATTGTCAACGTTGCAGTGACCTGATTTTTACTAGTCGCATCCTGAGGGGGATGGGGATGAAGTTGCAGACGTTCCTCCTTAGGTCAACGCTAACAGTGCAATTCGAGGTCACAAATGGAAGCTGTTTAAACCAATAAGATACAGAGTTCGTTCCGCTCTCGCTCTATCAGCACGCGTTGTAAATGACTGGAACGACTTGCCGAAACCTGTGGTCATAGCCCATACAAAGGTAGGTTTCAAGCGACTTTTGGATGCCCACTTGATGAGCAAGTTGGGACCTTGTCGGTTCCAACGTTGCTGTTACGGCCCATTGTGGAATACCGCTTCATAACGATTCGCGGCTCCCATGTAATAGTCGGGAAGTGAAGGAGCCGACAAAAGACTTCCTTTCTGCTCTCTACAAAAAAGTGACCCAATGATGTGAATCGTGTGCGTTGACTTGGCTCACTTTTGGCAAATCAATGCACCGTATTCCCTGTTGGGTCAACGACGTTTCGAAGGTGGGACATTCACGGGGTCTTCCTACTGTTCTGGTCCCACTTGACCTTGCAAGATTTGCTGGCGTCGCTTTGTGCAAAGGAAGGACTCAGCGTGTAGGGATTTGCAAGTCAGGCAACAGATAAAAGATCTGGGCAAGCTGGAGCTTATAAATCATTGTGCACAATACGAAATTCAATAATGCCAGAATTGCAGAAAAAGCTTGAACTAT